ACGGGGTACTCATCTGTCTTTTTTTTTTTTTTTTTTTTTGCGGGATGTACTAATAAATAAGAAGTGTTTTGATAGATGTTTCTTTTCTGGTGATATCGAAAGCTAATTTATTACGTTACTTTCGGTACTCTTTTTTGATAGTGTTGTTAGATGTCACCTTTCCTGCACAAAATCAGTTGCGTTGACTGTAATTGTATTTTGGTGAAACGATTAGTCGGTTGCGCTTATAAATTGAGATTGTTACGTTTACTTTATCTTGGCATCTGCGGATGTTGTGCTTGTATGTTTGACAAGAAAAAAGTGTTTAAATGCAACGCTTGTTTTTACAAGTTGTTCCTTCATCTTTTACCTTATCATGATACGTCAGTTGTCAGATTTTGTTAGTGTGACAAGCTGTGATTGTCACGAGATGTCAAGTTGGCTCTGTATATTTATCCTGCCCTTCTCAGTCTCCTCAATTGTTTAGGATGGTGTTCTCCAAGTGCCCCAGTGCCACTTCTTTGAGCGTGTCTTTGCCCGCTCGCATACTGGTTGTTTATTTCCCAAGTCGCCTGTTCGTTTCACGTGTATTTTGCGTAGAGTTGGTTGCTTTTAGTTTGTACTTTTTTTAGAGGGCTGGGTCGATAAGTAGTGATCTTGGGTAGATACTTGATGGCTTTCTTGTGTAATTTCATTTCAACATTTTTTCTACTACTGTTCTCTTCAGCTGCAGTTAGGTGTACAGAGACTGGTGATTGAATTCTTTTGCGCTGTAAAATTTCAGCGTTCGAAGCATGTACAGCTGGTAAAAGAAGTATCGCTATGCGAAAGATGACAGTACAAAAGTAAAAGATGAACAAATTATTACAAATGACTGACTCTCGGTTCACAAGGCAACGGTGACTAAAGTTTTTAGTGGCAATCATTAAAACATCTCATACTGCTTATACCCCGCGATTCTGAGTCAGTGACGTTGTAGCTAATTGGTGGCACCTTGTTTGTAATAATAATGTCCCGTCTTGGAAATCGTCATCCAGCAATCGGGTTGAAGAAGTGCCTTACTGTTTTTGTCAGCCGTCGTCCTTTATGTTGTAGAATTATTTAAAAGCCCATTTTAGGGGTCAGTAGTATGACGGTTGATTGGTGAATACTTTCCTGCTGTAAAGAATACGATGGGGATCCTTCAGATCTTGTACTAATGACGTTGAGTATCAGAGGGAAAGTCACCTTTCAGCCACATATTTTTACCAGCATTTGGAGACATTTGGGGAGTTCATTTTTTTTTTCAAATTTATCATTAACCTTCAACAAGCGATTTAGGAAATGCAACTGGTTTTTATCATTACTTTGTAGATCCTTGGGAATTGTTTGTGGGGATTTGTGATTTAAAATCTTTGAGTGAACTACGATGCAGCCGCGATTACTTGCCTGTTTTGTTTTTCATTTACAATTACTGCAGGCGTCGATTCAAAATTATCACATTCGGACGGGATGTCTGCAATTATTTATAACAAATAACCTCTGTTCATTCTTTTTTTGAACTAATAATTTAACCAATTAGTTGCCTGGCGACAGCCAGGCGAAGCACTTACCTGGTGGCGGAAGTTCTTCATCTGGAAGAAATTCAACATAAGGACATTCTTGGTTGTTCAAGTCGTTAAGATATTCACATAGCGCCGCAAATGAAGGTCTCTCCGTGGGTTCTTCAGCCCAACATTTCATCATAATGTCGTATCTGCAAGTTGTACAATCGATTATTTTTTTCTGTTGCTACAGATAATCAGTGACTTCAGCTTTGGATGATATATTTGGGGAAAACTGAAATTTTCACATAATGCGAACATTTCATTGGCGCATGAAGAAGGCTTTTCCAGACGATTTCCCTGCTGAAGATGTTTCAAAATTTCTTTATCGCTGATTGATGCATAGGGGAATCCGGCAAGAGTACAAATCTCCCACAGTACGACGCCATAAGCCTATAAATGTTTGCTTTGCCGTCAGAATTAAGTAAGCAAGCTCTTGCTGATATTACACCTTGTTAGTTACTAACCTGAATATTGTGTATAGTTGTGTTAAGGAACGTAAAGCTAACCCAAACATCACTTTTAGTCGAATATAGGTTATGTTCAATTGCTTCAATTGAAAGCCATCGAAGTGGTATTATGCCTTTGCTTGTCTTGACATAAACTCCTCTGCGTGAGAGTCCAAAGTCACTAATCTTAAGCTGCTTACCTCGTCCAACGAGTATATTCCGGGCCGCTAAGTCTCTGTGAATTATACCTAACGATTCTATATGGGCCTAAATGGTCTTCCAAGTTCATGATTATTGGCAACGTATGGCACAAAATTAGCCATAGTCGAATTACAAATGTGCTTATTATTTGGTAAAATTTACCATCCCGTTAGCCACCTGAAGAGCGAAACTCTGTAATTCGTTGGGATCTAAATAATAGGGATCCTCTGGGGTTGGTAGCTTGTCACTGGAGTTAATTAGTGACGTACTAAGTGAAGTGGACGGAGAATTTGAAAAATCGAATTTTTTTGCATTTTTTCTGTTACATACTGTTAGGTCGAACTGAAAATTGTTTGTTGAATTGAATAGTTCTAGCACTTAGACTTACGGGATACAACTGAGCGTGAGTGTAAAGTGCCTGCCGCTTATTTTTATTTTTTCTTTAAACCTTTTTTCTTCAATTTTGAAACCTTGCAAATAAGTCATTTTGAAAGCGAAACGTTACAAAAACGAACCGCTCATAAATGTATATGACAGCAATAATGTGTTCTGATAATATAACCTGTTTTCGCAATTCTTGGAGGTAATGCTTAAGATCGCCAAATGGCACGTACTCCATGATCATACACTGATGATTTGGCTCATTGCAAAAGCCATACATAGCTACAATATTTGGGTGCCTTCCGACCTGAAGTATCGTTTTATAGGCTCATATACTCTAGTTTTAATAACAATTCTTGGTACTTCTGTATTTTTTTTGAAAAACAATTATTTGATGGAAAGTATTCTTAAAAGGTTTTAATTCTTGAGATTCAGAGTTTAAGTTGTATTTTCTAATTAGTGAACGAACCAACCTGTTTCATAATTTCAATTTCTGCTGTGAATTCGCTTCTTTGGAAATCTTCAGCATTTGCATTCAGTTGCTTCACGGCTACCGTTGTTGGTCTTCCAAATCCTTTCATTCCTATTACTGTGCCCATGCATACCATACCGAAGGCTCCTGGAGAAGAAGTGCTTGAATTATGAACGTGTGAAGAACGGTATAATTGCAAACATTCCTGACCTTGTCCAATAACAGCCCCAACTTGAATTTGATTAGATGGAATTTCATATATCATCGCTTTGGAGTCTGTTTCAAACGCTCTTCGATAAAGAACATTTGTCTCGAGCATTGAATGACTGAAGGGAATTTATTTTTTCCGTGAGAAAATGTTAAATTTTTTTTAAAAGAGGAGGAGCCGAGGCTGACTTAGTAGCTAGTATTGTTTTTAGTATGTTTCTTTTAAAGGGCTTGGCAGTTTTAATCGGTAGATTTAGCAAAGAAAAAAAGAAGCAAACCTTGAGTGCGCCATCACCCAAGGGATGATTGAAGACTTCTCGATTTCTGACTTGCCGTTTTGAATGCAGTATTTTCGAATTAGAAATAGTAGTAAACAGCAAAGTAGTAGTAAAGCTGCTGACAGAAGTACCCATGCTGATATGACTATCATTAAGGATGTTCCGGTAGCATTGGCTTTTACAACAGCCTCATCACTTGTACTTCGATTTTGACTACTTTTTGGACTTAATGCTGATTTTGAAAGGCCTGAAGATTTCGAGTTTTGACTTATAAATATTGTCTGCTAGATTTTTCAGCATTTTCAATTTGTTTTCAAGTCAGAAATGCAGGAAAGAATATCATTTAATGATTTGCTGAATAGATTTTACCTTCTGAGTCATAATAGTTATCGGACATATTTTCATTGATATCTTCAGTATTTACCAAACTACTTTTGAAAGTAGTAAATTTTTTCGTTGCCGGCATGCTAAGGCAAAGGTGCCTATTTTTGGTGTAAATGTAAACCACATATTCTTCATTTCTTTGTAGACTAGATGGCCAAAGCAGTCCGTATTTTGTTCTCCCCTGCAAGTGTTTGATTAGCGTTCAGTTAGTAAAGGAGGCCGAAATTGTTCTTTACATTGAAGCCACCAGAAATATACCTCTAGTCGGCAAAAAGAGTCTGACAAGTGTTTTAAAATAAAAAAAAAATGCAGTTTTGGTAAAGCTGAAACAACAAGGATTAAGACAACGATAAATCTTTTCCAGCCTTCATTGTTAATGGGCAAATTCAGTGAGGGAATGCTGTAAGGCTTAGTCTAAGTCCTTTGTTCTTATTCTGGTTAAGAAAAAATTTTTGAAGGGTATCACTGTTATCATTGGGCCAGAAAAGTTGCTACGAGAACAAGGTCTACTTCTGATGGTTTCAATAAACAGCTGTTACAGGAAGAAAAAAAAGTTAGCAAAATTTCACGCTGGTCGTTTAAGTGCTTTTAGATGCTACATTGTTTACAAATAGAAAACATCTGTTTTTTTAAGCAGATGAAGGTCGGAAACATTCCGGGAAATTTGCAAACTTGATTAATTAATTAACTGTCAAAGATGCACTAGTTTTAAGCAACAAATTTTATTAGTTTTGTTCCTACTGACCACTAATTCAAAGTGCTTTAGGCTATAAAACTGAATTAAACTCGCCTTTACTGAATTGACCTTCTGTTCCCTCATTGAGGTTTTTTCAATCATATCACCATCACTAAAATATCCGTTTGTTCCTTCTGTTCCATTACGATCTCGACGAGTTTCATCGTAATCGTAATCTCCATTTTTGAAGTAGTTTTCACGACTAAAAATTTTTTATGTTTTTTGCTATGCAGAGGAGCAGGCGATCAACTGGTAAACACTGCTTGCAGATATTCTGAAGTATTCAATAATAAGACCGTTCAAAACACGATTTTTTTTTCCTCTGCTGAGTTGGAATTGTTTAAATTTTTTCACCATTTCGCAGCGATTCAACATTTGAAAGTGCTGTTATTTGCACATACAGTTAGAATATTGATATTTGTTGGTGTTTACCTCAAAAATATCTCAACTTCAAACCGAAAGGCAGCATTTTCAGCTTCAGGATATTCCCAGGATATTCGCGGAACAATAAATCTGTCATGCTTCACCACCACTACTTCAACATTTTTGACTGACGAAGGGGTGTTGTCTGCAGAGGTATTTTTTAAAAACGCTAATAAGCGTAACAGATAGAAAATAAATAATGAACTTTGTAATATTAGAATAACGAAAAAATAGGCAACTTAAAGATGTTCGATGTAAAAAATAAAAATAAATTTTCATATTTTTTTTCACAGTATGATGATAGCAACGGAGAAAATTTATTCAGTTTACACCGATTGAAAGTTGCATATTCTTATGTGGAGTACCTTTGCAACCACAACGACCTTGTAAACAGTGCGGTACAGTGAAGTTCAGTTCTGCGGTGAAGCCAAAGATTTCATCAGGAGGATGAGGATTCGATTTTAGCGTTACAACATATTGGCAGTCGTGGAGTATCTCCAGCGGTGTAAGCGCTACGTCGTCCAATTCGAAAGGAATCCTAAACGAACGTTGAGCCTGAAAGTTGACAGAAAGTCAGAAAAATGCTGAAACTAAACGCTGAGAAAGCATTATTGGCAGAAGCGTTTATAAGCCGCACTGCTTTTTTCTTATTATTGGTTTTCGATCGTTAATTTGATAAGTTTTTCTGTTTATCAAGACGATCAGTCAAACACAACGACAGTAAAATGATCTCACAAAAGTTGTCCAAATAAAATCGAGATTAATTTAAAAGAGAACTGAATGGAAAAAAACGGTGTAAGAGACTTTACTGGTTAGTCGTTAAATTCAGATTAAAAGCTGTTCCACATTTTTTGCTGTCTGAATAACTATTTGAAGTTTACAGCGAATGTGATGTTCGAACATCGAGTGAAATAGCTGTGAATTTTAAGGAACTAATAATTTTTTGTAAAAAATAATTTTGAGGTTTTAATATAGCAAAAAAAAGACTACTGATTTTTATTGGACGGAAAATCGCGATAACATACCGCTGGAATGTTGTAAATTGTGTAACCGGGGAATTCGGCTTGACACTCAGGGCCAACGGCTTCGGCATGTAAAGAAAACGATTTTCGGCGAGCATCTGTAAACCATCGTCAACTGTAGTGTTAACCCGCAGAAAAAACGATCGTCTTACTTGGATTTCTCCCGTTTTTCTGTTGTTTCTGTCAGATAAGTTTTATATGTTCAAACCTGGTTGGGCATTCCAGAATATTGTTGTTGCCATAATTTTTTCATCGTTGTCCGCATACACAGTTTTTTGTGTCAAGTTTATGGGCGGTAAAGGATAATCTTAAAAAACTGTTTTATTTTTTTTTTTTGTATTTGACACTATTTTAACACTTTAAAAATTTAATGAGACTATCAAAAGTTGAAGAGAAAAATGAAAAAAAAAAAAACTTGGGAGAAGAAAAATTGGTTCTTTGTTTTGTCATTTATACTCTGTAAAGAAACAAAAAAATTTTGAATTGAAAAATGAAAAAAGAGGAGAAAAATGCAAAAAACTTTTTTCTTTATTTACTTTTTTTCGATAGCAATTAGCGTATTAAAAGTTAGCAAATTCTATCTCATTTATTTATATATTTGTTTCTTTTCCTTTTTTCATTCTTTCTTTTTTCACTTTCCCCTCCTCTCTCCCCTCCCCCCACCCCCCTTCCCCGCTCCCTTGTCTGATTTAAAAGCCTATAAAATCGATTATATCTTATCAAAATTTTTTTTTGTTTTTTAGTAATTTTTTGCCAGTCCGTCTTCTA